CATTCAAAATCGAAACTGAAATGTGCAGTTTTTAAAAATGACTATATATTTTTTGGAAAAAAATACACTGGTTAAAAGAAACAAAAAAAAACAATATATACCCAAATTTCTTTGTAAAATATGAAAGAGGATGTTACAGTGAGTAAATAGATACCCAACATGTCACGCTTTAAAATTGCGCACGCTCGTGATATGGCGTGAAACTGCAGTACTTAAAAATCTCCATGGGTGATGCTTTAAAAATTTCTACAGGTCAGCAGTGTAACAGAGGTCTAGTGCGAGAATTATTGCTCTTGCTCTGACGTTCATGGCGATACTTCACAAGTGTGGTTTGAACACCGTTTACATATGTGGGCATGGCCTACGTATGCGTTCACCACTACGTGCGAGCACTGGGGGACGGAGGCACTTTAAACTTTTTTTTTTTAAATTAATTAGTTTATTTAATGTTTTGGGGTTTTTTTTTGCACTGTCCCTTTAAAAATGTTTTAATCACTTTTATTCTTATCATAAGGAATGCATGCATCCCTTTGATAGAAATAATTAGTGACAGGTCCTCATTATAGAGAGATATGGGGCCAATAAGACCCCACATTACTCCTCTGCAATTTAAAGCATTAGATAAAAAAAAAGCATTGATCTAGTGCTTTAAAAAAAAAAATGGTTGGAACGGCAGGTGACATCGCTTTGGTCCTCCAAGGGCATAGAGATGACTGGCGGCCATCTTTCCTTCACTCATCTCTATGCCCAGCGCCAGGATCAATAGTTTCTCAGGTAAGGCTGAGAACTACGGAGCGGCGGGCGCGGCAAGGGGTGGGTTTTTTTACACCTGTATCTGTTTTTTTTTCATTGCGGCCACCGGCCAAAAGGGGTGTTTTTTGGCCGAAACGTTTCGGCCACCGAAATTTCGGTGCATCCCTAGTATGCTTTGACAGTGGGAAATTCTTCTGCTCCACAAAATATGTTCTAAGTAGGCTAAATGTACAGCTGAAACACATACATGGTAATTCCGTTTAGCCAACTTTATGATATGTACACCACAACAGTCAGGAAGGACAATCAACTGCTTCTCAGCTTACTATTTTGGCTTGCCAGGTCATCTCCCTTTCACTTGATAAAAGTGATAATGCTGATTTATAATCCATTGGTGAGTCTGGCGGCAGAGAGGTGACATAGGACCATAAAAAGCTTAACCAAGAAGAAGAATTGCTTATTTGAGAACTATCGCCTGTCCAGAGATTCGCTTTAAGGTCTGCTCAGATTGTCTATGAATCTCAGGTATAAAGGAGTGAAATATTTGCAAGGCATTATAGGTGTACAGTATGCTATTAGCATGTGGTATTTTGATATTGCCACTAATACGTTTAAATGGAAAAAAGTGTAATACTGCTTAAAGGAAAAGTACAGCCAAAGCTCTAGGGATCACAGGAGTAGTTATTTATGCACTCTTGTGACTCATTTTCAGCCGGACTTCAGCGCACAGTGAGCTGATGTCACTCAGCTGATTCAGGCTGGAGAAAGATCCTGACTTTAAAGTCATGATCCACCCCAGAGTCTGGAGCGGCTCCTGGCTCAGCCTCTCAGCAAGACACTGACAGCCTGAGCCAGCCACTCTCTCCCCCTCCACAGCTCAGCACTCCAGTGAGCGTTGGGGTGGGCAGAGCAGAGAGCGGTGACTGACAGTCACCGCTCTCTGCTCAGAGCAGCTGTGAGAACGCAACGGTCATTTGATCACTGAGCCAACAGGGGACTGATGCAGGATCAGATCGATGCTGCATCCACTTACAGTAGGTAAGTATAAATAAGGGGGAAAAAAGCCCTACTTCTCTTTTAACGGATCAGTCCACCCATGCCTGAAATGTATTCTTTTTGCAGTTGTTGGAGGGTTAAACCAACTGATCATTACTTATATCTCCTGGGAACTAAATCAGTGAAGTTTCTGAATTTGATTTCTCAGACCTGCTGTAGCCATTTTCCCCATTAGACTTTTTTTTTATTATGCTGAATGTGACAGGAAGGTCTGGAATATGCAAAGTGAGAGGTATGTCACTTTATTTTATTCAGCGATCACATCATAGTTACAAAAGCGATGTTTCAGAGCCTCACGGGACGCCTTCATCAGGTATGTGACACGATTGGTGATGAAAGGGTCCTGCGAGGCTCTGAAACATTGTTTTTGTAAGTATGATGTGATCGCTGAATAAAACTTTGGACCTGTTCTGGAGATATACTTCTCGCTTTGAGTCTGGGTTCATACCATGCGATGCAGGACACTGCATGTAATTCGCACAGGAATCGCACTGCTTTCCTGTGCAAATTACATGCAAACGTCTGTGTGGTGCGATTTGAGCCATACATTTTGAATGGCTCAAATCGCATCCACACCAAAAAGGTTTAGGACCCACCACTTAACACCACTTAACAAGTGGTTAACCACTTGACCTCCAGAGGATTTACCCCCCTTAATGACCAGGCCTCTTTTTGCAACTCCGCGCTGCACTAATTCAACTGATAATTGCGCGGTCATGCAATGCTGCACCCAAACGAAATTTACGTCTTTTTTTCACACAAATAGAGATTTCTTTCGGTGGTATTTGATCACCTGTGCGCTTTTTATTGTTCACGCTATAAACAAAAAAAACGCCAAAATTTTGAAGAAAAACAATATTTTTTATTTTCAGCTATAAAAAATATATAGTAAACTCAAAGTTGGTTATAAATTTAGGCCAAAATGTATTCTGCTCCATGTTTTTGGTAGAAAAAATCCCAATAAGTGTATATTGATTGCTTTGTGTGAAAGTTATAGCGTCTACAAACTATGGTATAGATACTGCAATTTACGCCATTTTTTTTGCTATACAGCTCTACGCTAGTTTAACAGACAATTGAGCGGTCATGCAATACGGTACATAAATGAAATTTACATCCTTTTTTTTCCCACAAATTGAGCTTTCTTTTGGTGGTATTTGATCGCCTGTGCGGTTTTTATTTTTTGCGCTATAAAAAAAAAAAGGCTGACAATTTTGAGAAAAAAAAACAATATTTTGGACTTTTTGCTATAAAACATGTCCAGTAAAAAAAAAAAAAAAATAATCAAATTGAGTCATAAATTTCTGCCAAAATGCATTCTGCGACATGTGTTTGCTAAAGAAAAAACCCAATACGTGTAAATTAATTGGTTTACGTGAAAGTTATACCGTTTACAAATGGCGGGAAAGATACTGGGATTTTTCGGTTTTTTTATACTAATAATGGCGGCGATCAGCGACTTATGGCTGCGATCAGTGACTTATGGCGGCGATCAGCGACTTATGGCGGGACTGCGGCGGACATTCTGACATTGGGGGGTACTGACTTGGGGTCACTGACATCCCCAGTGACACCAATACAGTGATCAGTGCAAAAAAAACAAAACACTGACACTACTAATGGCGCTGGGGAGGAAGCTACTGCAGCTGTGCTCTCTGTCAGTGATTGCCGCAGATCACCGGGGACATAGCCGGTAGCGACCGGCTGTGACCCGGCGACTGACATCCCCGGCTGTGATCGGCGGGACAGGTAGGGCGGCGGCGCGCCTCGCGCGCGCCCCCTACCTGTTTACAAAACACACGTTTTAAAACGTGCTTTTGCCCAGCCGTGATGCCCTGCCGCCGTATTTATACAGTGGCTGGGCGGCATGTGGTTAAATCCGCACCTGAATTGCATCACATAGCTGTTCTCATCCATGCAATGCGATTTCTGCCAATCGCGTTTTGTAGTCTGTTTTGGGGTATCATTAATTTATCATTGCATGAACGTGATGCGATTAGATTGCAGTGTGGGAAACGCACAAGATTTGCAGCATTTCCCGCACCGCATTAATGTGAACCCAGGCTGAATGTCTTTGGTCTCCAACTGGTTGTCACTACAGCACCCATTTTCATTTACAGCCACTTTCAGGAATACGTGCTTCGGGAATATTGTGCTTGGAATATGCATAGGTGCAATTAAAACACTATCCATTGGGAAGGACCAGAGTTAGGAATTATGGCAAGAAAATCTTACTTTTGGAATATCCAAGACATATACCAAACCGAGGGCTAAATTAGTCCACCGGGCTCAACCTATAATTAAATTATCGCACCAGTATAATCAATAGATTCTCACGAGCAGCCAAAAATAATACAAACTAATATATTAATTTATACAGTGGGCATAACTCAATAACTACAATCCAGATAGTAGCTTACACCTACACATACTCATAACATGTGCATAATCAAGATAAATAAACATACAGTGCTGCTCTTCCTTTAAATACCCCAAAACGCATGTGAATGTGAACAAATATAATGAAAAATAGTGTACAATTCTAATTGCAAAGTCTCTTGATAGTGCTGCCTCTTCAACGTCAATATAACTCCATAGCTCTATTTCTTCTTAAAACTTAATCCACCACCAGAAAAACCAGATGTGCTCTCACCTGTGGTTATTGACCTCACAAATAGTTAGGCAAAAAACGCATGTGTCTCATGTGGGTATATCTTGTATATAGAATCTTCTAAAAGATGCCCGCCATTTTAAGAAGATATAGAGCTATGGAGTTATTTTGAAGTTGAAGAAGCAACGCTATCAAGAGACTTTGCAATCAGAATTGTTCCCTATTTTTCATTATATTTGTTCACATTCACATGCGTTTTTGGGTATTGAAAGGAAGAGCGGCACTATAAGTTTATTTACTATAATTAAATGATCACTTTTGGATGGACTGACCCTTTAATGAGATATGTACAGTATATGAGGTAAAACCACTTGTACTCGGCTCAGATGGAAAGTTCTTGGTTCATGTTTATCTATAAAGGCTGTGCACCTGTCACCTTTTTAACCGAAACTAGACAATTTCTTTAGTTTGGATCGAGTTACTGTAACCATAGGAAGAACTGGTAATAGGAAATTTAGTTTATTTCTTTAGATCACTGTTTATTTATTAGTTAAACTGAATATCTCCTTTTTATTTTTAGGCTCTAGGGAATCATGAATTTGACAATGGCCTTTCTGGACTTGTGGACCCATTCCTCAAAAATGTAAAGTTCCCCATTCTAAGTGCCAATATTATAGCAGATTCACAGATTGCATCTAATATTAGTGGATATTATCTTCCTTATAAAATATTGAATGTTGGTGGTGAACAGATTGCAATAGTTGGATATACCTCAAAAGAAACTCCAGTTTTATCTGATCCAGGTAATGTTTCCTCTATTTTGCAAAGTTGTATTCCTCCTGCGACTTCCACTTTACAGATTCCTTTTCATTGCTGACCTTCTTTCACTCTAATTGTAGTGTTGTACTGCAGCACAGTCAGATCTGGAGGTTGGAGATGTTACATACCTCTCAATATTTTCTGATAAATGTAATGTACACCCATAAATGACCTGCTTGCTTAGTTTTAACTGACCCTTGCATGTATCTCCTGTATCTTAAAGTGAACCTGAATTTAACAATGAAGATTTGCTACTTTATAGGAAACCTTTATAGGAACCTGCCCCATCCTCTAACACACAGGTGTAAAACTGGCGGCCCTCCAGCTGTTGCCAAACTACAAGTCCCATGATACATTGCAAGATTGACAGTTACAAGCATGTCTCCCAAAGGCAGAAGCATGAAGGGACTTGTAGTTTCGCAACAGCTTGAGGGCCACCAGTCTGACACCCCTGCTCTAACATAAGTAGCTCCGCCAGCACCTGCCCATATTGTCTATTTTTCTCCTCTTTCCCAGTCATATGAACAGGAGCGTTTGGCTTAATCTGGCCATCTTTTGAAGTTTTGCTGACTTCACTTTGTCCATTCACTTGTGTCCTGTGAACAGGATTTCATTCACTTTGAAAAGATTTCCTCTCATTTCCTTTTGCCAAGACAGGAAATGAAAAGAAATCTCTCCAGTAGGATGCACACAAAAAATAACTTAGTAATGGTTTTCATTCTATTCTACTTTAGCTAAAACATGGGGTTTTTAACAGATGTGTTAAATATTTATATTTCACAATATTCAGCATTTAAATCTAGTATTATTTTTTACATTTCGTTAACTTGATTTTTTTATTTAACCACTTCAAGTCCGGACACTTTTAGCCCCTTCCTGTCCAGGCCAATTTTCAGCTTTCAGTGCTATCACATTTTGAATGACAATTGCACGGTCATGCAACACTGGACCCATATGAATTTTTTAGCATTTTTTAGACAGATAAAACTTTATTTTGATGGTATTTATTCACCACTGAGATTTTTATTTTTTTTTGCTATGTAAATGAAAAAGTCCAAACATTTAAAAAAAAAACTTTTGCAAATAAATAATCTTTCTTCATAACTCTTGGCCAAAATGTATTCCGTTATCTTTTTAGTAAAAAAAAAAAAAATAACCCAACTTAGTTTATAACCAAAAAATTATAATTTTTCCAAATTTTTTTTACATTTTTATTTAATTTTTTTTATATTATCATTTGTTTTGTTTGTCTTTTTACATACTGTCAACCTAGCAGTACAGTGTCACTATAGTGGGGGGTGATGAAGATTTTTTTTTTTTTTTTTTTACACTGATTGCTTTTACACCAATAAAGGTTGTAAAAGCAATCATTTCTCCTTCTATCTGGCTGCATTCTTGCAGCCATTGTGAAATACTGTGAGAGCTGATTGGTCACAGCTTGTCACATGGTGCAAGGCTGTTGTGAATAGCCTTGTACCATGTGACCTCTGTGATCATTCACAGATTTCACACGTAGTAAGCAATGATATCAGAAGTGACATCTTGCTTACTACTCTTCATGTGATCGTTGATTGGCCAATCACATGATCGGGACCTCACACAGAGGTCCCGTACAACAATCGGTGTTCCACTGTGTCCGGAGGACACAGCGGGCACCGGATCACTGTGCTTCGTGCTCACAGGGAGCGCGCACAAACAGGAGCAGGGAGGCTGTTTATAAATGGCCACCCGCCCCTGCACTGCTCCTGTCTGGCCGTTTATATACATGAGCTTGACGGGAAGTGGTTAACAGGCTAAAGCCTATACGTTTTTTGTGTTCAACCCAGCGGGCTGAATGAAAAAAAAACTGACAGATCGCTGTACTAACACAAACAATGTTAGTACAGCGATCTCCCCACTGTGCCATAGGAAACACACTGAGCAAAAGCCACGCATTTCCTCCTCCTCCACAGCGGTGGACCGACAGCAGCTCTGTGTCCCTCTCATGCTGTCCATGTGTGTGTACAGTCGTAGTACAGAGCAGGAGCATGCATGTAGAGGGGAGTCCTATGGAGCTCATTAGGTCTTGGGGGCACAGGAGGAACATACTGTATAACATGGGAAATGTGTCAGCATGGCCAGGGGACATGTAAACACAAAGTAAACTCAGAGGACTTTTTTTTTATTGTTGGAGAAAAAAGCTAATAGATACAAGCTATATTATTATTTTTTTAATAAACACAAAATATTTTACATCAGAGGCCCCTTTCACACCTGAAGCCCTCCATCACATCAGAGTTGCTGTGGACCAGGTAAAATCTTGTAGCTGGCCATGTGTGGTCCTTGGGCCGTAGTTGGGAGACCCCTGATTTAGAAGGACTGTTCATCTTCTGGACAAAATTTCTATGCCTCTCTTTCCTCCTAAGTTAACCCTTTTTTTGTTCTGATGTACAGACCTCTGTTTTATTTTATTATTTAAAAGTATCATAAAGCACCCAAACTTTCAATGATGGCATTTTGTATAGCCATATTATACTTCTTGTATTTTGCTGCATTTTTTGTTTACATAACTCTTAAAAATATCTTAATATTCTGTATTTTAGGCCCATTCCTGAAATTTGAAGATGAGATAGAAATTTTACAAAAAGAAGTTTCTAAAGTTTTAACTCTTGGTGTAAATAAGGTGATAGCTCTGGGTCACTCTGGCTTTGATATTGACAAACTTATTGCTCAGAAGGTGAGGGGAGTGGATGTAGTTGTCGGAGGACACACAAATACATTCCTTTACACAGGTGAGTTCTTTCACTTATCATTCTGCCTTTATTTCTTTCATGCATTGTGTATGTCATGTGTAGCACCTCCTACCTAGTTTGCTATAGTTAAGGAAAATTTAGTTTTTGGCTCCCCTGTAGTACAGGAGCATTACTTTTGCTTGTTCAAGGTTTTGCTGGTGCAGGTTCAACTACTTCCCCTTGTATTCAAGTAAGTTTTGGAATATAGTGGGTGGGAGAGGCAAACCCTGACTTGAATATTCATTCAGCCTTCGCAAATCCCTGGTTGATGGGGTCACCATTAGGGGGTTGAGAGGTGTATAAATGGTATGGGGCCTAGAACAGCAGGACCTATTCCTATGGGAGAAGACCCAGCTTGAGGGCTGAGACCCTCTGGGCTGCTAGCTACAGAACAGAAGAAATCCTTTTTGGGTCCTAGCTCCAGCTAGAGCTCAGAGACCCATGTCCAGAGCCTCTGAGGCAGTGCAAGAAGTTTTGCAAAGGATCCAAGCTGAAGGCATCTAGTACAGAGGATGAATGGTACTGCAACAAGCATAACAGTACCCAAGGCACAGTGGGTGCTAGCCTTAAGGATGCTAAAGACTGTCCTTACCACCTTTGGGAGAGCCCACTACAGTTTTGACTCAGGTTATACCTCTGCCAAGGGATTCCCTGTGTTGTTGTTCTTTGATTCTGAATTCAAGCGGGCGGTTGCACCCTGAAGAGACAGAACAGTTTCAGATGTCCTCCTCTGTGTTTCTGCTAGTTTTGGAGTATCCCAAAGCTCACCCCACCTTACCTAATTTAACCAGCAAATATACTGCAAAAAAACATGCACGGTCTGTTTTTTTGACTGGAGTGCCTGTGATCTACAGTGTGCCTAGTTGCTGTGTGCCTTACAGGGAATGGATCCTGAGATATTACAGCCAACCCCTTCTGTGGTTTGTGCTACACATGTATGTTTAGAATGTACTGTAAGTGCAAATTCGCAGCTAATTCGAATCTTAAAGGGAACGTGTCAGAAAAATAATTTATGGGTTTCCATTATTGGCTGCAGATTCTAAGGCGGTCTTCCTTGTCCTTCCTTTGGTAGTTAGTGAGCCATTGACACAATGCAAGAGCCATGTATACAGTGCAATATCAGGACATTTGACATGTGCATGCTGTAGTGGAGTGCCTGCTTACTGTTCATGCTCAGATGCAAATGTGGGCCCTTTAACTCCTTTTCTCACAACATGGTGGGTTCCTGCACATGCCAAAGGAGTTTACATTGCTCAGAGTCTCTCCTTAGCAGCTCAGTGAGGCCCCACCTAAAGAGATAAGTAGTCAGGGGAGAGGCCGTCTGCTGTCAGAACCACTGTGCGGACATCCAGTCAGAAGCCTAATAGCATGCTGCTTCTTCAGGAGTCTGAGCTACTATGGGAAACCCCTCCCCAACTGCTACCAGGGCACTTTAGTTCCAGTGGGGTGGATCCATGTGTCCTAAGGCCTTGTATCCCTTGTAGCTGTTCACCTGTATTACCATTAGCTCAAGCTCTGTCAGATTGGATGGAGAGCATCTGTTTATGAGTATAGTCATGAGTAGCTCTGTTATGAATTGTTCTACAGAAGTAGTTATTTTCAGCTAGACTCTCCATTGTTATAGAGCCTTATAGATATTATGCTATGTAGCTTACGTGTGACCCTGATTAGGCAGAGACATTGCTGTGAAGAGTCAATATTTGTGCAGCTCCCATTATCTGTTGAAATTATTCTGCAGTGTATGCGGGGCCCAGGCAGCTGGGTGAATCGGATGTGGGAAGAGAGGTTGATCAGCATGGCAGGGGGGGCAGTTACTGGAACCGATTCCCTTTATGGCTTTCTCTGCAGCAGCTGAAAGCCACCAAGCCTGAAGAATAGAGTGCTCAGACAAGTTAGAACACCTTGTTAAATTGTTTTTCCTCAGATAAGTTAGCACTGGAAATGTCTGTTCATTTTTCGCCCTTTGCTTTGCCTACTCAGAAGAGCTTATAAGACCAGAGCATGGAACAGCAGGCGCAACCTCATAACAATACATATCAAGTATAAATAAAGAACACATTAAATGACATTGCAAAGACAGTGGCACTTTATTGGTATTAGCAGAAATTAGTTAAATAAATTCTACAAAAATGACTTTTTTTATTGTAAAATATACAAAAACATTTCAATACCAACATAACCAATAGCTCAGTTTTTAGAACTCGAGCCTAAATTTCACAGCAATTACAACCCCCCCCCCCCCCCCAGCCGGAACTGATAAATGAATCCCATTCTAGGTAAAGTAAAGTAAAATAAAATTGGCGCCACTGCAAACCTCTAATGCCCTTCCAAAACACGTTGAAATGTTCAGGTGACATGGATACATTTTCCGAATAACTCAAATGAGCTGATCTGATAAGCGCCCAAAAAAATATAAGAGTGCCCAAGGATCCAAATACAAGGTGCACCTAAGAAATTTAAAAAAAAAAGGTTAGGACAAACGTAAAATTTAAAATTCCTGGATTCCCTCCTATACTCAGACATACCCCTGCATGCAGCCTCTGATGTGGCTCCAATTCTAAAAGAGTGCAGGGTAAAATTCTATAAGCCTAAATATTTAAGACCTTTTTTGAAAATTAATCAAATTGATACTCATCTATATGAATAAGTAAATGACCCGGATGAAAAGGTCGGCAAGAAAGGTATTGACAAACCATCTTAACAGGACAAATACTTCTATCTCCATCAGTTGTCAGTGAAAGCCATTGATCTTTACCTGGTTGTTCCATCTTGGAATGTTTAATGAATAATTTACAGTGCCTTGAAAAGGTATTCATACCCCTTGAAATTTTCCAAATTTTTCATGTTAAAACCATAAACATAAATGTATTTTATTGAGATTTTATGTAGACCAACACAAAGTGGCACATAATTGTGAAGTGGAAGGAAAATGATAAACAGCTTTCAAAAGTTTTTACACATAAATGTGAAAAGTGTGACGTGCATTTGTATTTAGCCCCCCTGAGTCAGTACTTCGTAGAACCACATTTCACTACAATTACAGTTGCAAGTGCTTTTGGGGATGTCTCTACCAGCTTTGCACATCTAGAGAGTGAAATTTTTGCCCATTCTTCTTTGCAAAATAGCTCAAGCTTTGTCAGATTGGATGGAGAGCTTCTGTGAACAGCAATTTTCAAGTCTTGCCACAGATTCTCAATTGGATTTAGGTCTGGACTTTGACTGGGCCATTCTAACACATGTATGTGCTTTGATCTAAACCATTCCATTGTAGCTCTAGCTGTATGTCTTTTGCAGACTCTAACAGGTTTCTTCTAAGATTACCCTGTATTTGGCTCCATCCATCTTCCCATCAACTCTGACCAGCTTCCCTGTCCCTGCTGAAGAAAAGCATCCCCGCAAAATGATGCTGCCACCACCATGTTTCATGGTGGGGATGGTGTATTCAGGGTGTTGTGCAGTGTTAGTTTTCTGCCACACATAGTGTTTTCCTTTTAGGCCTTCTTTCACATGTTTGCTGTGTCCCCCACATGGATTCTCGCAAACTGCAAATGGGACTTCTTATGGCTTTCTTTCAACAATGGCTTTCTTCTTGCCACTTTTTCATAAAGGCCAGATTTGTGAAGTGCACAACTAATAGTTGTCCTGTGGACAGATTCTCCCAACTGAGCTGTGGATCTCTGCAGCTCCTCCTGAGGTGCCATGGGCCTCTTTGCTGCTTCTCTGATTAATGTTCTCCTTGCCCAGCCTGTCAGTTTAAGTGGACGGCCATGTCTTGGTAGGTTTTCAGTTGTGCCATACTCTTCACATTTTTTTTGAACAGTGCTCCATGAGATGTTCAAAGTTTGGGATATTTTTTATAACCTAATCTTGCTTTAAGCTTCTCCACAACTGTACCCCTGACCTGTCTGGTGTGTTCCTTGGCCTTCATGATCCTTTTTGTTCACTAACATTCTCTAAAAAACCTCTGAAGACTTCACAGAACAGCTGTATTTATACTGAGATTAAATTACACACAGGTGGACTCTATTTACTAATTAGGTGACTTCTGAAGGCAATTGGTTCCGCTAGATTTTAGTTAGGGGTATCAGAGTAAAAGGGACTGAATATAAATGCATGCCACACTTTTCAGACATTTATTTGTAAAAAATTTTAAAAACCATTTATCATTTTCCTTCCACTTCACAATTTTCTGCCACTTTGTGTTGGTCTATCACATAAAATCCCAATAAAATACATTTACATTTTTGGTTGTAACATGATAAATGTGGAAAATTTGAAGTGGCGTGAATACTTTTTCAAAGCATTGTAAGTACCAACATGAGGATCAACATGAATGCCAGTAGCACCTTTTTTATTAGGGTACGCAGGTTGTTTTGAATAATAAAGCCTCATAATGAGAAAAACAAATAAAAGAAGTTACTTGACATAGTTGCACTAAATTGGCCCTAGATATAGGTCTTCTAACATCCGGGGCAAAGTGTGCTTTTCTATACCCCTTTTGGGCTTGCATACAGGCCGAAAGCTTCATTAATCTGAAAAATAAAGAAACTTCCGCCAAGGTTTATACTGTGGGGCTATATGAGAGTTGACAATGCGTTATGAAGATAAAATTAATAAAATGATACTCTCTGAAGGATCTTTGGGGGGAAAAAAACTCAGTTCTTAGAGAACGAGACCCATTTATTCCAGGAAAGATGAATAGTTTGCACAAGTATGCGGGGAAACCGAATCCTTAATAGCCTGAAACACAACCATCATATCAGACTCCACAAGTGTTCCAGACATACATGGCCCATTGGATCTGCATTGGGAAGAAACTGGCAAAAAAGGAAAATCTGAAAACGAGACAGTGCGTCACCAAGGGTATTAGTTTTTCCAGGAATAAATTTAGCTTTTAACCAGATATTAAATTTCAAACACAAAAATACTAAAAGTTTTAAAAGCTGAATGACAAACAAAGACTTGGAGGATAAACAGTTTACTGCAAATAGCACACCTTTATTGTCAGTGTGCAAAAGAATACGCCTATTAGCAAAGCTCGATCCCCATAACTCAAGGGCCACTACTATTGGGAAGAGCTCCTGTAAGACAATGTTCTTAGTGGCTTTTTTAAGTACCGAGAATTTAGGCCAGCTTGGCAGCACAAGTGACTCTTCCAAATGGCTGCAAATCCTCAAGACCCAGCAGCATCTGTGAATAATTGAAAAGCATTAGAGTCTACAAATTCCTCCTGGTAAAAATGATCTGCCGTTGAAATCTTCCAGAAAGCTCTCAGAAATAGACCAGACCATCAGATCCTCTTTAGGAGAGCAAGTAAGCCAAATATGAGAATAAGATGATTTCAATCCTGACGTAGCTATAAATAAACGCCTACAAAAGGCTCTCCCCACAAGTATAATCCTGCAGGTAAAGGCTAACAAACTAACAAGGATTGCATCTCCCTTTATATGACCTTTTCACACCTTAGAAAAAAATGCAATCAATGATTTTATCCTGTCAATTTTTATCCAAAGGTAAACAAAATTCCATCAAGGATGTGTCTATAAGAATTTCAAAAACACCGTCAGGAATACATTTTTTCGGATGCTAACACCACCAAAAAAACTTGGTTAAAAGACCATGAAATTGGCCTACACCTATCATCATCTGATTTCTCATCATATTTTTTCATGGATTTAAAGGTAAAATCCTTAGCTGATCGAAGCAGTGACAATGTATCCACAAAGTCACCCTTCCATATTTTTTGGAAACCAAGAGGTGAAACTTTGCATGGTAACACCTCTTTAAAACATGATTCCGGTACACGCATCCTTGAAGCAGGAGAACATTTTTGAACCAACTCAGTAACAGAAGTAGAACAAGTAGCAATAGCAGTAGCAGGGTCATTACCACCTACATTAAATTAGACTTGGATTTCACTATTTCAGTCAAGGAACTGATTACATTTAAATCACAGACAGCTGGTTACAGACACCTTGAGCAGAAGTCTGCTGTACACCATTTACTGGAGTATCATTGTATCTTTCTGCCACTCCAGGCTCAGCCTGTCTTCTAACGCTCAATGTGTTCTGTGTGCTGTACTGAAGCAGCACGCTCCTGTTGCCTAGCAACCACAGGGGGTAGGGGGTAGGTGGGGGGTGGGCACACTGTTTCCAGCCCAAATGTTGAGACCTGCCTCGCCTACCACAAGAACTGGATCTTGACAGTAAGGGGAGAGGGACAGCCTCTTCTTTATCATGCAGTGGCTGGGACAGGCCTTCATGATGCCTTCCTCAGATCCACTATCAGTCAGGCGCTGCTCCTCCTCCCTCCATCCAACATTCCCAAACATTGCTGCAACCAGGCTTCACTTCCACCACTCTCCACCCTCTAACACTTGCATCAGAAGTGTCTTCATGACTGGCCTTATTCCAGCCTTTTTTATTACAGGAGGTGTGAGGAAAACCCCATTCCCTCCAAAATTTATATCCAGGACATGCCAGAAAATTCCAAGAATTCCCATTGGCTGAGATTCCTCACAGCAAATTCTTTTTCCCTTTTCTTAAAGGGGAAGTTCACACAAAATACCATACAATATAAATTTAAACATAACTCTCATAGAAAAACCTAAATAGGGCAAAGAGCAGCTTGCAGTCCTATGCGCAGATGGGCCCAAAGAGTTGTGTCCCCCTCACCCATTCTTGTGTAAGGCAGAAGATGTGTCAACAGACGCCATGAGGGAGATTTACTAAAGTTGGAGTGTGCAAAATCTGGTGCAGCTCTGCACAGAAAGCAGCTTCCAGGTTTTATTGTTAAATCTTAAATGAACAAGCTGAAGTTATAAGCGGATTGTCTACCATGCATCGCTGCATCAGATTCTGGGCAGTGTTAGTAAATCTCTTCCACGACAACATTGGACAATGCTCATCCATTCCCTGATGTCTGCGATAAACTTAAAAGGGAGGTGGATTGTCCAGCAGAACAACTCTAGTGTCATAAATGTCTTGGTTACAGTTAAAATCACTACCATGGTAAAGACAAGTAAAATACAGTAGGACAAGCAGAGACAGTATAGAACTGAAGTACTGTACATAATTTGGGTTTTTTTGTTATTGTTTTTTTGTTGTGAAAGTGTAGTGAACTTTTTGTTCCTATTTGTTTTGGCAGCTGTATAATTGTAGGGAATCAATATCAGCAAATCAGATCAGAGCCAGATTTATGCTTCCTTCCCCTCCAGGCAAGCTACCTACTAACTTCCTCCTCCTACCTCAGGGACTGCTAACTTTAGAACCTCACTAACAGAATCAGAAGTTAAAGGTACCACAAGTCAGTATGAGGCTGCGGGGAACAGAGGCTTAAAGTGCCTGTACACACAAATTAAAAGCGTAGGACAAACCGTCATCCTATTCTGTTGGTAGATTAGTTCTAGGTTGGCCAAAGCACCAATTTCATGGCTGCGTGCTACTTCTGGGAGCCTTTGTACCCTAGGCAACAGCCTCTATTAACCATGCAGAAAGGCGGCTCTACTATAGAATATTTCTGCTGATGAACCTTTCAAAGTGTTATCAATGTAGTAAGACTGTTTATGTTTGAAGGTCTTCTACCAGAAATAATAAATGTGAGGTGTAGATGAAATTATGCTTGTATTTAGTCAAAAGACATGCCAGTTCTCTGCCAGTAACAGATTTGCTCACCTGCCGTAACATATCTACTACATCCAACACCCACAAGTATAAGCTTGGTGCAGCCAATACATTTGCAGGCATGCACGTTTTCTGCAGCATTATGTTGCAGTGGTAGCATCAGTCAGTTCTCTTAAAGAGAGAGGAATTCATAAACATTTTATGAATTCTTATACTTAGATCTGTGCAACGCATGTAGCAATGTTAAGTGTGAAGTGTTGTAGTACCATTGATTTCAAAAGGCACTCTAACCCACTGTTACGGTACTGTGCATTGTAAAATAAAGGTGGGCATTTGGTAAAGTGGATCTTCACAATTCCCCCCTCCTTTTTTTTTAACCCCTGCTTACTTGGTTGTGGGTCCTGCATCTTTAAGGCACTCATCCATCCAGAGGATCCAGCATTGTCCTGCTGAGATCCACTTCTTTTCTGCCCCTCACTTGGTCCCACACCACCATTTTCTTTGGGGATGTCATCAGGAAGCTAGATTCAGCTTCACAATGATATGATATGATATAATATGATTTGATATGTTACCTTTACACATGTGTGGTATGCCTCAATTTCAGATCTGTCACTCTGATTTTCCAGGATGTGGGCAAATGTATTCCTTATGCTTTGGTGGCAATTGCTTGAAATCATGCAAGGTATGTGATTATTGCTATGGATGCTAGTAGCAGTCACATTGCAATCAACATATTATTCAGATTATGGCTGGAAATAAATGTTAGGCTGAAAAGGATTTCCATCTATGCAGTGTTATAGGTAGTGCTACAAGGTCGGGGGATTATGCTAGATGGATCAGCAGTAAATATAAAATGCTACCTATCAAGCACCTACAACAGTCACATTTGTCAAATAAGCTCAATGCATTAGAAGAGGCAACAGCTTGGAGCCCTGTTGGACTTTTATAATGCATATTTGTCTCCCTGATATAATCCTATTAACAAAGCATTAGTAATTCTTGTCAGAATTCATCCTTTGATTCATGTCATTACAGGACCACCACCTTCCAATGATGTCCCAGTTGGAGAATATCCTTTTATTGTGAAATCCGATGATGGCCGTTCTGTACCAGTGGTTCAAGCATATGCCTTTGGAAAATATCTTGGCTATTTAAATGTGACGTTTGATGCACAAGGAAATGTATTACATTCCTCAGGAAATCCAGTTTTGTTGAACAGCAGCATTCCTGAAGGTTGGTAAATCTAACCTCACTTGTTGAAAATCTAAAGGCTTTCTGATTGGAATCTGGAATGTGTAGTATGTTGCTTAATATAAAAAGCAATGGCATGGTGTTTAGCCCCTATCTTGGATTTAGTTTAGCCCATTGCTGCATCTCTCTCATTACACATTATAGGGGTCTATACATCTGTGAAAATGATCTGTAATGCTGCGAATTTGCTAAACACAAAGATGTAACTTACTTTTTATCATATATGCTCAGTTTCTCATATGCTTTCTGCATTAAGAAAGTGGAAAATAGGAATATATTCAGACATATCAACAAATATGTAACTTCATATGGTGTATACATTGTGCCTAAAAAGTGTTGAGTAGTAATCTCTTTTTTCGTTCTGGCAAATATAAGACATGACCGTAACATATAACAATATATATATTTATAAAGTGCTAATCTGCCGATCATTTGTCAAAATATTCATTGCATTCCTAAGGTAGATTTTCAGTCCAAATGTATCATTAGTTTGCTAAACTGACTTTTGCCACCACTAATTTTTTGGGGTTTCCATATTTTTAATGGAAACTTTAGGCTTAGGTGACCAATGCTACATTTAGCAACACCTTTTGCTTTTTTAAAATTGCCAATTTCAAATGGAGACCCATTGACCTCAATTCTACTCATTTATTGGCACACATATTTGCCACACTTTACCCACACTGTAAATGAGAAATAGCAGGGGCACATAAAGATGGGTGGTTGGTGTATGTGATTGAATTCAGAAGAGTAAATGAAAATGTCCCTATGGAATATTCAAATAGATCAAATGATAACATGTCTACAGTTTTCCTATGGCAATAAGAAAATTTAAACATTTTAAATTAAAAAAAAACTTTTTTCTTAGTTTTGGTGAGAGGTGGTGAGAGGTTACAACTTCAGTTTCTATTTGCTCTGATTCTCACCAGGACTATAAGTGTTGGGAAAATCCAAAATGTTGAGTTGTCACCAGAACAGGAGGAAAAAGCTTCCAGTAATGACCGTTGTTCTAGTGACAGCTGTCTAAACTGACAGTTGTCTTTACAGGATAGGAAATGATGTCTCCCCAATGGGACACACATGACAAAAGAAAAAGGCCTGACAAAAGTTTTACCCATACTTTATCCAATAAAATACCAAAACAAAAATTAGCTTTGGATATACAGTACTTTAAAGTAGAATTATAGGCAAGACTTTTTTTTCATTTTGGATAGAGAAAGGGAGGGTTATAACCCCTTTCAGATTTTTTTTGTCATCATTTGTGTCCCATTTCCATTCACACCCTGTCCCACAGCCATAACAGGAAATGAGAGGAAATCCCTTCCAATTAAGGGAATTCTTTGGGTACACCCAGGTCACCAGAATTAATGTCCCCTTTGGAAGTTTTCCCCTCTATTACTTTTCTGGAAACAACCCAAAATTAGGGATTTTCTTTTGTTTTCATCTTCAATGATAATGGTAGACAGAACAAATAGAGAGGGGGAATCTCCCTAACAGAACACAGACAGTAATAAAACCTGACGACAGTAATAAAACACTCTATCCAAAACTAAAAAAAAGTTTTGCCTTCAGTTATACTTTAAGGACAGGAAATGTTAGGAGACTGTGCAAGCATACTCTAGCATGATAAATACAAAAAAAAATGGGTTTAAAGTTTGTCAATGTCCTAGTTTACAATATAGCATTCTCTAGAAAGTGTAAAAAGCTTACAATCTATTTAAAGCACAATAGTATAGCAGTGGTTCAGATTGTTGACAGGTGAACTAAGATCTAATAATTGTTAGTGAATATTGTCAATATTAAGAATTTACAGGAAAAACATTATTCAAATCAGAACTTGTTTCCCTAAATGTAAAGACTATTCTTTATTTTTCTAGCAGATGAGGTCACTTACCCAAGAATGTATTAGATCACCACTGCCACCTGTAATCTGCAGCCAGAAATGTTTAATTTATCTAAAAGGAGATTACATTTGATGTGCTTCCCATAGTTCTCTGGGAAATCTTTATCATGTATTAAATAGTTATTTTTAAAACAAAGAATTATGGTGTCCTTTAACCCTTTCGCTGTCTAATAGACCCCTAATGTCTCCTTAAAGAGAACCTGTCATCTGAGCTATGCTATTACATAGGGAATTTATCAGCCCCCTTGTGACCGCAATAAAGTAAAGCTAAAAAAGAAAGAAGTTTAAAAAAGTAATCTTAACTAAAATTAGATTTAAAGAAACCAAATATATATTAAAAAAACTGCACCCATACATACACAAGTGCATGCGTCAGATGCACATATGTACATAAAAGATAAATGCTCCACAAATATTCTGTATTGACAAGCATGCTAGAGCGAGTGCAATAATTTTATGGCCATTATTCTCTGATTACTCTGATAAACTGATTATCTGTAAAGGATTTTAAAGTATTGCATATGGTCACTGTTGGATACTGCAGTTTTTCATCATTTTGTAGACACATGTAATTGTGAGACTTGACATATTTGGTATCTATTTACTGGGCATAGCCTAATCATTGATATTTTGCAAAAAAGAGGGATTATATTGTCTAAATTAAAAAATATACTAAATTAATTTTAGTATATTTTTTCCGAAAAACTTAGATTTGATAAACAGTAGTACAAATATTGTGTGAAATTACATCTACCACCATTTTATGTAGGGTTTTAAGTGCTTTTAAAAATACAAAATGTGCATTGTACAGTATAAGTGTTTTTGTATGAGATTGATTGCTTTTCTGAGTACAGTGAAAATAATCCCAACAAGACTACAGTCAGGTCCATAAATATTGGGACATCAACACAATTCTAACATTTCTGGCTCTATACACCACCACAATGGATTTGAAATGAAACGAACAAGACGTGCTTTAACTGCAGACTGTCAGCTTTAATTTGAGGGTATTTACATCCAAATCAGGTGAACGCTGTAGTAATTACAACAGTTTGCATATGTGCCTCCCACTTGTTAAGGGACCAAAAGTAATGGGACAGAATAATAATCATAAATCAAACTTTCACTTTTTAATACTTGGTTGCAAATCCTTTGCAGTCAATTACAGCCTGAAGTCTGGAACACATAGACATCACCAGACGCTGGGTTTCATCCCTGGTGATGCTCTGCCAGGCCTCTACTGCAACTGTCTTCAGTTCCTGCTTGTTCTTGGGGCATTTTCCCTTCAGTTTTGTCTTCAGCAAGTGAAATGCATGCTCAATCGGATTCAGGTCAGGTGATTGACTTGGCCATTGCATAACATTCCACTTCTTTCCCTTAAAAAACTCTTTGGTTCAATGAGTTGTGAAGCATTTGGCTGAATATGAGCAGATAATATTGCCCAAACACTTCAGAATTCATCCTGCTGCTTTTGTCAGCAGTCACATCATCAATAAATACAAGAGAACCAGTTCCATTGGCAGCCATACATGCCCACGCCATGACACTACCACCACCATGCTTCACTGATGAGGTGGTATGCTTAGGATCATGAGCAGTTCCTTTCCTTCTCCATACTCTTCTCTTCCATCACTCTGGTACAAGTTGATGTTGGTCTCATCTGTCCATAGGATGTTGTTCCAGAACTGTGAAGGCTTTTTTAGATGTCGTTTGGCAAACTCTAATCTGGCCTTCCTGTTTTTGAGGCTCACCAATGGTTTACATCTTGTGGTGAACCCTCTGTATTCACTCTGGTGAAGTCTTCTCTTGATTGTTGACTTTGACACACATACACCTACCTCCTGGAGAGTGTTCTTGATCTGGCCAACTGTTGTGAAGGGTGTTTTCTTCACCAGGGTAAGAATTCTTCGGTCATCCACCACAGTTGTTTTCCGTGGTCTTCCGGGTCTTTTGGTGTTGCTGAGCTCACCGGTGCGTTCCTTCTTTTTAAGAATGTTCCAAACAGTTGTTTTGGCCATGCCTAATGTTTTTGCTATCTGTCTGATGGGTCTGTTTTGTTTTTTCAGCCTAATGATGGCTTGCTTTACTGATAGTGACAGCTCTTTGGATCTCATCTTGAGAGTTGACAGCAACAGATTCCAAATGCAAATAGCACACTAGAAATGAACTCTGGACCTTTTATCTGCTCATTGTAATTGGGATAATGAGGGAATAAACACACACCTGTCCATGGAACAGCTGAGAAGCCAATTGTCCCATTACTTTTGGTCCCTTAACAAGTGGGAGGCACATATGCAAACTGTTGTAATTCCTACACCGTTCACCTGATTTGGATGTAAATACCCTCAAATTAAAGCTGACATTCTGCAGTTAAAGCACATCTTGTTTGTTATATTTCAAATCCATTGTGGTGGTGTATAGAGCCAAAAATGTTAGAATTGTGTCCATGTCCCAATATTTGTGGACCTGACTGTATGTACTTAAGACATAAATTTGCACTGAACTTTGCAAAACTGATTTGCATAGACCAAAGCAGTGGGGGACAGCCTATTAAGTGATCATTTACACCTTGTTTAAATTAGAATTGTTGGATTCAAGGTCATATATAGCATTTGTTTGCATAGTTTGATGTTATCAGGTTTTCTCTGTGAAACTGAGTTCTGTACAGCACATTCTTTATTTTGTCAGTTATTTTGTCCCCCTTTGTAATGTACAGCGCTGAGCGAACCATTGGTGCTTTATAAATACTGTATAATAATAATAATAAGGGATTGTTACAGGATAAAAAGAAGAGGATGTGGCCAATTTAAACCTTTATGCAATATATTAAAATAAGAATGAAAAACATTCTACTTTGTTGGAGGTAAACCCATCTGAGCATGGATAACTTATCTGAGGTTTGGTCAACGAATGTTTATGTCTGCAACATTTAGAAGAAATAGAATGTAGAGGTATTTAAGTGAGAGAATGCAAAATAGAGAAATGGAGAGTGACAAAGAAGAGGGCAGAAATAAAGGAGATGTATGACAAATATATGATATCATGGGGGCACGGGGAAAGATTAGGAAAATTGAGATGC